AACGATTCACGTGGAATCTAATTGTTCCGTCTCGCCTCTCTTGTCGTTGTGGGAAACGAGCGTAAAAATAGGTTTCTAACACTGAGTCATGGGAACCTCTTAGCAGTCAGGCATGGCCAGGGGAAATTGGGCTCAAGCTAGTTCGTTCTTAACCTATGCGCAGTGAAGAAAGAGCAACCGTGGCACTTTCAAAATGCTGTTTGGGGGTGCTTTACCGGTTTACCGCAGGCCAACGGAGGCTGTAACACCGCGAGACGACACCGCAGATCGTCACTCCACTCGAAACCACGATCGCAGGGCAGAGCGTTATGAAACTCGGGGTTCACTCCTTTCACTGGTTCAAGTGGAATCGCTTCCGCAGCGAAATTCCTTCGCAGCACATGGGAGGTAGGAGCGGGGGACCCGGCTGCCCACCGCCATCCATGCACGCTGAGTGAGTCGGTCCGGACTCCAACCGTCCGCCTTCGCTCTCTCGCGCTCCCTTACCTGTCTCACGCGCTTTCACGTGCTTTCACGTGCCTTTCACGCACATGCCCTACAGACGAGCCCCTTCGTACGTCGTTCCCGAATGAGCGGGATGTGCAGATGGGGCGGGAAGGGCACGGGTCAGTCCGAGCAAGGATTGAGGACGTCACGGCGGCGTTTTCGTTCGATAACGTGTCGGGGAATTCCGTGGAATCCGGGCTTTAATGCAGCTGGGGGACTGCTTGAGTTGCTTCCTTTGCGTGTTTGTTGTTATCGTCATGGGGGAGGGGAATGAAGCGGAGAAATCTGTCTGTATGGTGAATTCATGGAGCGCGCAATCCCTGAATCCATAAATTCAAAATTGGAAGGAGATGAGAATGCAAATCGTCATCACGATCATCGTCATTAGCATGGTAACCCTCGGATCGCATCCTGTCCGTCTTGGACGGATCCAGGTCCGTATCGCCTCATTTGAATGCGCGGTCGCCCGCACGAAAGTACCAGTACCAGCTCGAGTGCGCCGTATTTCGCCGATGGTCAAGCTGGGACCTGAATCTGGGGTTGCACGCCTTTCCGGTTTGACAAGTAGGCTCGTTGTTTCCGTAACGGAGACCTCGTCGAGCCGGAACAGTTAGATACCTGGAGCAATGTCCTATGTTTTCCTCACTTCTCTCTCCCTCTTTGCAAAGAATTTACACGTTGTTTGGCTAGTCGAAATTGCGTGACCGGATGCTTAGCACTTGTTGAGAATATTAAATAAAGTGGGATAAAAGTACTCGAGTTGTGGTGATCACCATCTATATTTCCATTGAAATACTACGGGCTTGCTGGTGTTTTCGTACAGATGTCGCGGCGACGAGTCTCCGCAACGGCGCGCTGCCCGATGCCAGACAGTTGACCTACTTTCCGGGTATGAAATTTTAATGAACTCGTGGTAAACTGGTCTAACTGGGACTAATCACCTCAAAGATCGTAAGTCCCATCTGCTCGCGGAAACCCAAAATAGATTTAATTAAGAAAACCTCGTGGGAAATTTCCTCGATTTCATCTGTGTGGGCGTCACGGATGCCAAATGCCAGATTTCTGGTGAGGCCACATCGTCTTTGCATCTCATGTGGTCACAGATTATCGCTGTTGATGCATTCGCTTCGGATTTTTTTTTCCTGGCTTGCTAAAAAGGAGCACATTCTCTTTCAGTAGGAGTGAGAATTCTCGATCGCAATATTTCCTGTCAAGAAGAAATCAGCTGTAGACTCTATCGGTTGAAATAGCAGCAACTTTGGGTCTTGGTGGGATCTACGATAAAAGGGCAATTAGTCTATGGGTAACAAATGCAAATATTTTTCAGCCGCATTCCCCAAACGTGCACTCTTGTGCGAAAGGGTTTAACTTGCAAAACTGGAAATACCAGGGATATCTGAATGGAGGTTAAACATGGAGAGGAACGTTTTTAGTTCTAAGTTTTAGTTTTGGTTCTAGTCTTTCGGTTTTAGTCAAAGATCAGGAAAGTTCTTACTGTCTCTGAGTCCGCTGGGAGAACTCAGCCCGAAGAAAGAATTTCGTTCGATCAACTCACAAATTGCATGAAGCCGCGAACGAGAGGAAATCAACTGGAATTAAATTGCGGGCAGGAGCGCCGTGCTCCACGCCCTGCACTCTTCGTCATCGCAGACGAGAGACTGCGGAGCTTCTTCGATTTCGGTGGATGGTGTCCGATCGTCTCGGTAGGTGTCGCGAGGGTCGCCGAGTCAGGCTCTGAAGTTTTTCATCGTCTGAACTGGGCCTGTGAAAAGTTTTGAAGTTGCTGAGCCTTCCGTGTCGTCTGTGGGCGATTCGATGAGCGGAAGCGACTGGTACACTTAACATGCTCGACTTTCCCGGAATATCTCCCATCTTCCGTGATTCAGACCATTTTAGAACCTTTGATCTTGATGTTATCGGTCCGGACCATTATCAAAGGCACACGCTATCGCTCTCCGGATATGACTGTTGGCGGAGTTCTACAGTGTTTTCGGTCTTTTTCCACTTCCCCTCCTTTCCCTTTTGCTGTTCTCGACCATATCCGGTAATCGCATTCATCACGAATGGCAAAGGGGAAATAAATTAGTGATGAGCGGAAGCGAGTGAATGAACAGCTTAATTTCATAACTCAAAGGTGCGGACCAATAATCGGTTTTTGACGCACGTATGAACGGAGGAAAAGTCAAACCGAAAACACTATAAGCTCTGTCTCGTGGACCAATCAGATAGGTTTAGACGCACACCCGGGTCGCAGCGGGATGCCCGGACGTCGTGTAGACCATGACCCGCGGATACCCCGCGGGAACACAAAATCCGCAACCCTTCTAGGACTCCATTGTATGTTGCCATGTTGAAAGGCTCCCAGCCCCAGTGTTGATGTACATTGTTAAGTTCCTCTCGTGTGTGTGTTTGTGTGTGTTACTTCCGCCCGATACGTCGTGAGATTTTCCGCCCATTCCTTCGAATTGCTTCCGACCCTCAGAACACTGGCTCATCTTTACATTTCCCAGGGAACCTCAAAGGTGCGTGGCTCATCTTTGCCTTTCGTGAGGGGACCGTGCATGGATGTGAGACCCGTTGTTGCTTTGAGGAAAATGAAAATTGTTAGGCTGTTTTGAACATGAACTCAGTGCGAGTTTTGTATTTGGCACCTGGTTTAACTCTCAAGTATGCTCTATCCCCATGTAGGCCTAGAGCATAACGTTGTTATCGTAACGTTATTATGCGTAACGTTATTTTATATGCCATGGCTCTGGCTTGCCAAAATTCGAATGCTCGCATGAGCGTGCTTGGAAAGGATCAGCAATTTTACCCATCGTAATTGGCCTTGGCATATGAGAGCAAGGACAGAACAGAAAAAGCGAGAGGGGGAAGTATCCTAGGGCCGATGTGTAATTAGATGTGTAATCTCGTAACCCATTCGCAATAACTTCGCACTTTCATGGAGCACCCTTGTCATAATCGATCATCATCAGGAGACGATCACCAAGGTTAATCACTCTACATCTTTCACTTTCGTTCTTTGTTCGACAGGGATCTATTATTTGGTTCAGGTTTCATTTGAAGATGAAACACAAAAGGAAGTTGAAGAGACATAGGCCTAGTCGAATGACAGGCCTGGCGTCTCGTAGAGCAATTGCTTAAGAAAAATATTGCCAAAAAATTGCCCCTCGTTCCTCGTTTGTCTGGGTTCCCCACCCATACGAATTCCCGTAAGCTGTCTGAAATTTACTTAATGGCAACTGCTCTCGCACCATCATCGGTTGATCGTGGTCACATTCGCCGACTGACTTTGTGCCGAATCGCTTTTTTTTTTTAAGATTAAATTGGAGGTAGGTGATCCGAGGCAATCAGAAGATACCCGAGATAATTCGATTCCGAGCTAACGAGCAAAATTATCATAAATGAAGGTTTCCTTCGAATGAGAAGTGATGTATGGAGGCCGTGAGCGGATGAGGCATCGAATTGACGGGAGTTATATAATTTTCTTTATTGCTAATTAATCCAAGCACTACGAGATTTCTTGTCGCCATCAGGTTAATTGTTTTGTTTATTTGTTTTTTTTTTCCCGTACCAATCTCTATAGGGCTATGAAGGCTGGGGATGGATGTGAAGAACGGAATTGTTTTTCGCGAAAAACAGGAAGAAATTAAACGAAACAGATGTACGGCAGGCGGTATCCGAATCTGGTTCTTTCCCAGTTCAGTTAACCGAATTCAGATTCATCTTTATATATTCAAATTCGGATCCGATCCGGCGCCTGTGGGGATCTGTGCCCGATGTTCATGGGGTGCCATAGCCGGCACAGTGATCATGTTTCGAGTTTTTTTCTGTCGAAGCCTGTCGCTTCCGAGCGACACAGCACTGCACAGCAAATTCCCAGTCGTTTTTACGTTAGTTTGCTATCTGATTAGAATTATATTAGTCAGAGACATTTTTTTATTTACGACTTTCGTTGAAAATATTTACGAACATTCATTTCGAAGAGAGCTCAAAATGAACGCGAGCCTGGGAAAGTCCAACTGATCGTGTGCGTAAATATGGATGAGCGGGGGGGGGGGGGGGGGGGAAAAAAAAAAGGGGGGGGCCTTAGAAGGGTTGCGGATTTTGTGTTCCCGCGGGGTATCCGCGGGTCATGGTCTACACGACGTCCGGGCATCCCGCTGCGACCCGGGTGTGCGTCTAAACCTATCTGATTGGTGGGGCAAAAAAAAATAGGAGGCGACTCTGCCCCTCTGTCTTCGTCAGATTAGGCGAAGGAAATAGTATCTGCAAAAAAAAAACTTGTAAATTTCCAGCACGTATCTGTCGAGCCTTATCACGTTTTCACAATGAGAAATTGCCGGATAATTCAGATGAGAAGGTTACAGGGGTTCTGTAAAAAAAAAAAGGGCCTTTGTTTATTCTTCAGACAGCCACTATTGACATTGTACCTCCAAGTTAGAGTTTCTACCTGGCGGTCCGCCACGACTGGATTTGGAAAAAATCATGGTAGACTGCAAAGACAAAATGTTGCGTATATCAGCATAAATAGAGGAGGGAAATGGATTGGAATTCGTGAGCCACCCCTTAGACTCCTGACAATGCGTTTTTCTGGGTCACATTCTGGTAGAAGTAAGCCGACATCCTCGGCGTCCTCGTTCTCTTCGGGTCATTGAAGTCCACCTCATACAACCCGAACCGCACCCTTCCAAAAGAGGCGACAGAATGCAGTTTTCGTCGAGGTCAGGAAAAAGGCTTAAACAGGATGGACTTACGAGTAGCCCATAGCCCATTCGAAGTTGTCCATGAGTGACCAGACGATGAATCCGCGGACGGCGCTTCCATATTGAATCGCTTCCCACACGTTTCGAATGCTCTCCTGTCCGTGCAAGGAGTCGAAAATTGGATTACCAACATTAATTGACGATGCTCGTAAGATGGAACAGGTAATGGAATAATCAAGATCGTGTTGCTCGCCCTATAGTGTTTGAACCTTGTCTTGATGGAATTATTGTTGCACACCTTGAGGGTCTGATCTCACGAAATAAATTATTTAGATAATATGTAATACTTTAATTTAAAGAGGCCCAAAGTTGTAGTGGCTGTCACCTTGAACGCGCGAGGCTTACGATGCCATGCCATTCTAGGCCATCCACAGCTTAAAGCGCCATGCCTACAAGGCTCTGCCATATGTTTATGATAGGCCATAAAAATTGAAAGAGGCCGAAAGCAGTGGTGAATGGTAGTCACTAGGGCTGTTAATCGATTTAAAAAGTTAATCCATTAATTGTGAGCCATTTAATCGATTAATCGAATTTTAATCGATCCTTTACTTCCTCCTTGAATCATGTCTTGACGTTGGGAATGATTCTGCTTGTGTCATGCCCAACACCTGGGCGAGCCTCAGGAAGTGACTCAAGGCGATGCAGTCGCTAACATAGTTACTATCCATACATACACTAGTTCATCCTACAAGTGACATATTCCAGTCGGAAATAAAATAGTTACAACTTAGATAAATAATGAAACGTAAGCAAGGAACCGCACTGAGGCCCTTTGTCATTTAGCCAGCCCATAACGGAAGGATGCAAATACGTAATCTAAATGATTGGACGTTTATTGTTTATTGTTTACACTTCATTGCGGGAAGGTTTAAAGATTCATCAACGATTTACGGGCACAGGATGGAAGAGCAAAAGTAGGAGCAAGCAAGGAGTAGGAAAGGATTTCACACTTTCGTTTCTACTTCTCTCGCCTTCCCCCGGCTTTCCCCCTCTCTCGGTTACTTTCCGGGAGGGAGGGAGCTCCCACAAACGTTCTCCAGTGCACTTACACGTACGTCTCTCACTCCCCAGTCTTTACATTATCCTTTTTCCTGCCTCTCCTGTCCCATGCCCCGGCTCAACTCCCCCCTTCCTTCTGTGCTTTCCTTTGCAGCTTCATTACGACTTTCTTTTTCCCATTCGCATCCAGTGACTTTTCGGTCGCTCTGCCCTAAGTCGCTGTTATCTGAGCCTGACGCGCAAGGCATGCAAGGCTGTAATTTTAAAGGCCGTAGGCTAGGCAGGACACGGGATGCGTACCAGTAAGCTTGTGGATGCGGAGGGGTCAAGAAGCTTTATTTTTGTAATAGTCATTCCATGTCAAGTGGTCCAAAGGTGGTTGTTGCACCGACTGGGATTTTGCTATTAAAAATCATGTATACTGTGGGTTATGAGAAACGGATAAATCCGAATTTTCAGCTGTCTAGGCCCAACAGTCTTGGAGATATGCCCTTTGAAAGTTTGAGAGGGAGGGGTAAAATGACCCCTCAAACAAATGCAATATCTCCCGAACTACTTCAGCTAGGAATGTGACTAATACCTCATTTCAAAGCGAGTAGCCAGGCATCTTTAACTTTCTCTGCGGGTTCTATCGTGCCTTAATTGGTAAAAAGTTACAGCATTATTAAATTCACGAAATAATGAAATTTTAACGTTATAAAAATTCGCAGTAAAAATGCATATAACTCTACCAGCTTTGGGGTGTCGTCTAAAGATGCATGTATTTTGTTTTAAGTCACTCCGAAATGCTGCAAGTGTACATAAAGTTGCATATTTTGCCATATTTGTTCAACTTTGACCTTTAATAACTTTTCTTTGATTCCAAGTACAGTTTTGCTTATGCCATAGAATGATAGATCTCTCGAAGCTCTTTCGAGTCGTATAAGTTTGATCGTGTTTTTCTGAAATCCTGATCGTTGAGAAGTTTTTTCTTCGACCATCTCGAGACCTCTTTCCCCATCAAGCGTTGAACTCCACCTCGATCATGTTCGAGCAGGAAAACATATACTTGATATGATGGTTTGAATACGGCTTGGAAAATATATTTGCATTTTAAAAACGTTATGGTTTTTAAAATTGCATTGAAATTGAACTTATCTTGAACACGAAAATGTAAAAACATTACCCAGTTTTTTCAGATATACCATCAACAACATCTCTATATTTCGCTGCTCGTTTCTCCTAAAGTCATTACATTTGTAAGTGACTTGTGAGGAGCTAGAAAAATGCTGAGAATTGACATCCTGGGAAGTAATCTTGTCCAAAACTGTCACGACCTGTCAAACGGATGTATCCGTTTCTCATAACCCACAATTTTTAATAGCAAAATCCCAGTCGGTGCAGCAACCAACCTGGCGAAAATTGGACCCCTTGACATGGAATGGCTAAATAGTCTGAAAGCGATGGCTTTGTTTTTGCATGTTTCTTTTTCCCAAAAATAGTAAGTCGTTTTTGAGGAAGAGTGAGCAGTGCGAAAACGATTACCTTCTATGAGCCATCATTGCATTTCATTCCCTTCATAAAGCGTTCGTTTTCGGCTTTTTTTTCTTCTAAACTATGAACTGCACAGTAGATAGGAAAAAAAAAACAGGCATTCAAGGAGAGATTAGGAGGTCGATTAAAATTCGATTAATTTTGAATAATCTTTTAAATCGCGATCAATACTTTAATCGATCAATCGGTCGATTAATCTAATTGAATTGATAGCCCTAGTTGTCACTCATCTGCGGCCCATAACGCAAGGCCTACTAGGCTCTGCCATTCTAGGCCATAGACTTGGCCATAAAACTTTGGTATACTTATAAATCGACTTTTTAGCTGGACGGCAACACTTTCGAACTTCCCGAGGTTCGTTGGAAAATTTTTAATGTTTGGTTTGAACCGAATTGCATATCTTTCTGTAAACATTTTAAAATTTCCGCCCATTAGACGGCCACCATAGCTAGTATACCTTTAACACTTCCTGCTGCTGCAACCTGTCATGATATGAATTTTCATGTACTGCTAACCTTGAGATAAGAAAAGGGTCACGGAAAATGTAAGCGTGTCTGTAGTCCTATCGTAAAGTAATTGGATGTCCTCTGCAGTGAACATAATGAACCCATTCGCAAATGATTATTAGCTTTTTGCTATGCAAGTTATAGGATTAAATTCGTTTTTAAAAAGCATAGCACCCCACATAAAAAAAATGTAGCCGGCCTATCGCGATTTTCAAGAAGGCCGATGTACACCCATGTACTGCTGTCGCGAAAGAGAATTTGACCCAAAAAGCCATTCAATAAAAATAAGCATATTACTGCTCAAAGTGAACGCGGATGGCTGGCAGCCATCACTTTAATCAGGTGGGGTAAAAGGGAATGTGGATGATGAATGGAAGAAACGTACCTCAAGGAAATTGATCCTGGCTCGGTCCTCGAGCATGGTCTTGTCATCTGGGAATCCGGTTTCTGTGACATAGACTGGCGGATTGTTGTATTCGTCCCTGATCCACGCTAGTATCTCCTTCAGGGCATCGGGATAAAACTGGAAGGAAATGGCATGAGGATATACCCGAATGGAAAGGTCTTTCATCCTTTATTCGAAATTGATTCCCGATATTTTGACTTACCTGCCACCCCATCGGGGTCGTTTCCCAGTATGGGTTGGCTTGCTTGATGACTTTCGAGTCATTCGTGTAACTCGGACCTCGTTTGACCGTGTCTGGATCGTCGGACACCAAGGTTGTCCCGTAGGAATTCAAGCCCAGGAAGTCCGCTGAGCCTGATGGGATACATTTTTTAAATAGAAATTTGTCGCGTCGTAATGTAACAAATTTTTAAATTTAAATGATGCATTTGGCTTTTGACCTTTGATGAACTGGATTTCATCGAGGTTAAATGAAGGAAGTCGAGAATAATTATAGCCTTGCATGGCGCTGTTCATGGCGATTCTGTCCATCATGATGCCAGGGTAATTTCCTTCTTTGGAGAAAATCGGATGGGCAAACCATCCCAGCTGCAGAAAAAAATCTTATTCTTTCTTTTTGCAATCAAATAAAATGAAAATAATTCGAAATTTCCGCATGCGATATTTTGAAATGGGTCGGGCTTGTATCAACCGTGCAAAAATATCGTTCCCAAAGTTACGAGCTAAGGATTACAGATACACGACAGCACATGATTTGGAAAGTGCTCATTGGGCTATATGATGTTATGTGACATACAGACCTCGCTATCTTTGAAATCAAGATGTGAAGGTTGAGTTCAATAAATTTGTCCTTTCCCGGTTCGCGTGCCCATCAGGCTCTCATCGAAGAGAGATGTAGCGGGGGTAACGCAATAAATGAAAAACATTTTCGATGATGCATTATTGCCTGCGAGTATGAGTGAAATTAGCAGCTCTTGAATAGCAAAATTTCGCAAATATGACGGCACTAGTTCCATAACTGAAACGTTGGGTTTATATACAACTCTTATTTTTACGAAGTCTATTGGAACCTCCGTGATTGTTCATGGAAATATGACTGAATGTGGCCTAGGACTAAAAGTTTGAGTTGTATAATATATATGAATTTTGGGGTTTTTGCTTAATATAAGAAAATGCAATTTATGCACAAAGATACTTAGGGATATGTATATGCCAGAGGGAGATGTTCTTGCATTTAAAATCTTGATCAAAGATATAAATCGTGTGATTTATATCTTCGTGATCGAAGATATAAATTAATAAGATGTTAAGATTTCGTGCTCACTCACGTGAAACTGGAAGGCTCGATCGACGACGTCGCGCTTGCTGCCAGAGGCAGCTTTGAAGTTGTCAGTATTCAAGGCTATCCCCACCAGACCTTAAGGAGAATTAAGCAGCATTCTCATCAATTAATACAATTCCTCCGATAATGTAACGCGTCGGAATGATCCCCCTCCAAAATGCAAGACCGGCGAACCGAACTTCTAACTTATGCCGTAAGACCAAGGCCCGAATGCATAAACCTAATTTAGGGGAAATAAAGGGTCCTTTAAGCTAAAGAGCTCCAAAGGAGTCCATGTATACTCGTACTTAAAGAACCGTTAACTAAAGGAGGCTTCAGGATCAGGGCCTTAGTGAGGTGGTTGGATGTCTCCTAAGTCTATGTACCTGAAACCAACTCTTGAAAGTAATGTTAACCCATTATTTAATTAATTAGAAGATGTGGCAGAAAAATATATTACGTACATTGTTTTTGGTCAATCATTTGGTTTCAATTCTATTGAAACATTCGCTAGGAATTTCTTGGAGGGGAAGCAATAGTCTGTGAGATACAGGTTTGATGGGTATCGTTGTGCAAAATACGCATTCAAAGTAATTGTTACCTATTCATGTACTCAAGTTTTGTTTTGATGACAATTGTCATTATAATGCAAATTGAGGGTTAATTTCCTCCCTTTTGACGGAGTCTTGACGGGGAAGCTGACTAACGAGAGCGGACGACGATATGAATTATTTCATAACTTCCTGCTTCCTTGATTATAAAAGGAGATAATACAAGTTATAAGAAAATACGTTGCATAAGAGTTTCACGGTGTAGACGAATCACATCATTTCAATGAGTCGATCAGATCTTATGTAGATCTCCTGTCGGGCAGAGGAGGGTGTAAAAGAAAATGAAGATGAATATTAATCAGAGACCTTTTTGGAGTTTTCGGTAATGCTGCTGGTAGATCCTGTACGCCTTGGCATGAGCGAGGAGGAGATGGTGGGCCACTATATAGGGCGAGACCCCCGGATCCTTCACTCCCGGTGCGTGATCTCCTTTCTCGAAACCGATTACTGACACGACCCAGGGCTCGTTCAGCGTCACCCATAGCTTTACCTGTGAATAATGAGGTCAAGATTTCGGTCAGTTTCATTCATTTTAATCGTAATTAAGCAAACGTCTTATCCGTATGAAAGTATATATGAGTTGAAGATCATCGAAGTTCCCTTTGGTAGAGAATTATTGTGGCTGTCGAAAAAAGCAAGGTATTAGTAACAGGTAAATACAAGATGAATGGGATTTCAAGTGGATTGTAATTATGAATGTAAAGATATATTGATATCAGTATCGGCCTCAATATTAGATATTGCGATAAATATCCGCGATCCGATATTTTGCCCTGTCGATATGCGATTTTAATGTGAGTACGTGACGAGCGCCTGTTCTCTTCATATCAATGCAAAATCCCTCCAGACACCAGCCGTGCGTAGGCCCATCCATCGAACGTCCGGCATCACGCTTGCTACTGTGAATCTGATACGAGAATTGGGGCTGTGACGATGGTTCCGTGGTTTTCGATTGATTGCACCCCCAGGGCCGTTTCTAGGTATATTGGCGCCCAGGGCAAAGAGTTCCAATGGCCCCCCCCTCTCCCCACCCCATCAACAACTGTGGCGCAAAGCACCACCGCAACTCTGGCGGTTAGAGCCTTATCCCCGGAAGCTGACAGGGAACTGATGGAAATCATTTTGTTACATTTGTAAATTATCAAAACAATATATTATATTATTATTACGACGCTAATTAAAAAATCACATTTTGTAGGACACACATTTAGGTGTCTAGGTGTAGACCGTAGTGCAGTCTATCTTGCCTCTCTCGGGGAGGTCGCACGGACCTCTACCCGTCTTCCACATTTAAAAATCGGGATATAATTTTTTAGCGTCGTGTTTCTTTGCGCAGCGCCCCCTTTCCCTGCTGACGCCCCGGGCGATCGCCCGCTTCGCCCGCCTCTAGAAACGGCCCTGTGCACCCCTCTACTCCTTTCTGAATGGCGCCACTTGTCATCCAATGAAGCGCCATCTACAGGGTGGCGCAAAAGTCTTTATACATTTTTTGGCATTTGCGTCATCACGTGTGCTTATTTTGCCAATTCTCATCTGTTTCAGTGATCACATCTTTTCGAGTCAAATCGTAACAGATGTCATCCACCAAGTCAGTTGGTATGACCGGTTTATGTTTTGTTAAGAATATCATGAGGAAAGTGTAGCTAGTCAAAAATGCGTTGAGACTTTTGAGACTTTTGCTCCATCCTGTACTGTCTCAAAATAACTTCCCCTGGTTACATCAGTGACTGAAGTGGGAGTTGAATAATTCCCGCTTCCTCCACAGTAGGGGGATGGAATCAAGCGAAAATCACTATTCTTGGAAACATTCGTGCATCGACCTGAACCATCGATGCATCATTTATGAAATGGCGAACTATGTCTTCATTAATAGATGTGAGTAAGTGGAGAAGGAAGAAAGGAAACTTCTTCGGATGAAAATTGTAGGCCTTGAGGAGTATCTGTACGATCCGAAGTCGATTCTGCAGCACCTATTCCGGAACAGACGGGTAGAAGAGGAAATAGGAATATGAAAAATGAACCTGTTACTTACTCTATCTTGCCGCGCGCTGAGGTGACTTCCGCCATTCTTCCCTACTTTTTCCACTCGATTTCCCAGCTCAATGGAGTCCTATCGTCACAAGCGTGCACCAGCGAATTTTTTTTGGCACCTTCTTTCTCTGCCCGCTTACTACAGTCGAATTCACATTTTGGAACACCGCTTAATGGATATTCTGCTTGATGGATATACGATAGCGCGGTCCTGTCATTTTTGACCATGAGATGCATTATGAAAAACATAATCATAACATCGCATGAAGTTAGAATACGGGTTTTTACATAACCCGGTTATAGGGATAAACTGTTATGGAAGTTGAAATAATTTTTTAAACCGCTGTAAAATAATATACTTATTTTTTCCTTTTCCGTATTCTCGGAAAGTCCTCCATGGCCTGTCTTCCCAGCCTCAGCCTCACACAATGAAAGCAAGGTCAAGAGCAGCTGTCACTAGGCTATTATGAAAGGCTACATCAAAGCCAACGAAGAAAATAAGGAATAAAAAAAAGTTGAAAACTATGAACAATGTTGAAGGAAAGAAGGAAAGCGCGGATGTAAATTAATAAATAAGTCTTGAAAACTATGCAAGAAACAGAGTATGTACAGATAAAAATATATAAAAATACGATTGCACAATAACGGTCGAATGCACGAGAAGCCAGTCCTCTTGCCAGCGTCTTGAAATTGATGGTTTTGGTATCTCTACCATTTGAGAGAAGAAAGCACGCATTTACGTTTTGAGACCGGACATTGGTGTGATATGGTTGAAAAGGGCAGATTGGATTTCTTGCTATGCTGAATTGTGTGCTGTGAGGTGCGGAATTTGTCTCACTTACCCTATATCTTAAAAATAAAACCGCCCGAAGTGCCTGCGTTTAACAACACCGTTGGAGCGAAACAGGTCATCAAAATAATTGAGCCCTGCCATGCCAAATTGATAGCATTGTCAGCAGCGATCGATAGTTAGTGTAACGTTAAGCTTTAGCTTCAACGTTAACTAACGAAGTTTACAAGCCCACCTTGAAGTCATTTTGAAAAATGAAGGGGATTATGTCACAGGCATACTTAACCTACATATTCTCATACAAGGGGGAAATTTTGGCAATACCAGGGCAATACTAGGCCTGTGAACACCTATTGGGGCCTAAATCCATTCTTGAAGGAAAGATTATTCTCTAAGGACAGGACAAGGTTAGATCTAAGCAAACAAGTCGTGTAAATGAATAATGGGAGTGGCAGCGAACTTCGTTTCAGGAAAAAAATTGAAAGTCATGCTTCTTCAGTTTCATTTCCTGATTCGTTTAGCTCATCCCGCATTGATATTACTCTACTTTCATATTAACTTTTGAAAAAGAGGTGCTCTCTTAATATCGTTTACTGATATTGGCTCTTGAATATCGGGGAGGGGGGAATAGAATTACGAATTCTCGAATTCTCAATATATTATATGCCCAATAATAAAACCCAGGAAGAAAAGTCTTGGAGTCCAGCCTAGGCAATAGCAGGAATGGGCTATAATCATTGGGAATTTATACGATTTCCTTGTAACGCAGGAATAAAAAGCACGTGGAGGTGCCGGGGTTTGAACCCGGGACTTTTCGCATGCGAAGCGAACACTCTACCACTGAGCTACACCCCCGACATATTTCTCTGCTGGTGATTTTCTATTTTAGTTGAAGTTTAAGCACCATTAACACATTTAAAAACAGGCCTCGAAACGCATGGCAAATACATGACTCTAAGACAAAAAAAATTATTCTCAGTATTCTACAGCACATGTATGCACTTGAATGTCTGTTGGACATGACAAAAATTTCCAGTCAGATTGGACCATATGATTCTTCACTAAAGCCTAGATTACATGACCAGGTTTGTGCAGTCAGGCAAAAGTGCTGGCACAGGAAGTATTGGAATGAGATTTGTGTCTATTGCAAAATTTGCCTATTAAAAATCCTCCTAATTAACCGAAGGAACTATCGCCACTTCGTCATCGCTGAAAACTCATTTCATAAGTTTTGTAAATTTATTTGTTTTAATATTCCAAATGACAACTCTGTCTTAAGAATATTTTCATGTCCAAGAGATTTTCTTGAAGCATGGGAAGAAAAAAGCATATCTTGGAGGTACCGTGATTTGAACCCTGGACTTTTCTCATGCGAAGCGAACACTCTACCAATGACCTACACCCCTAATGAATCGTCGCTACTTCATACAGTAGAATATTAGACAGAGGGCATGGCAAAAAACGTTGGACTAGGTTAAACTCATGCTATTTTTCGCTAGACTACATTAGATGACTAGATTACGGTCAAGAAAAATTACTGCGACAGGAAGCATTGGAATGAGATTTTTGCCTACCATAACAAATCCTCCCGATTAACATAAAAAGGTGAAAACTCATTCTGTAAGTTGTGAAAATTCTTTTATTATTTTTTCCCTAATTCCATGTGGCAATATTATCTTAAGAATATTCCCACGTCTTGACGACTACCTTAAAGCAGGGGTGTTCAAACAAACGTCCCGCGGAGGTGATTCATCCGGCCCCGCCGTCTGTTCTTGAAATTTCAACTTAGATTGACTCTCAGCACCCTCCTCTCACGATCCTATGGGTGCTGCCCACAGGCATCTGCGGGGTAAGGAATGCGACTCGCTGATCGATTTGACATCCCTGCCTTGACGCATGGAGAAGGAAAAAGGTTGTGGAGGTACCGGGGTTTGAACCCGGGACTTTTCGCATGCGAAGCGAACACTCTACCACTGAGCTATACCCCCTATCCTCCATGTTGCTTTGGTGCATAATGAATACGGAACTCCAAAGAAATTCGGAAAAAAATAAAAGCAATCATTCTTGAGGGCAGCTTATCTCTGCATGTAATACTTTTACGTGGAAATCAGCGACTCTCTTTGCGAAATGCATATATCAGTTGATTCTGTCATAAAGATAACATCGAACGGCGCAAAGACGTGGCAGCAGCCTGGTAAACACGGTCGACTAATCTGGAATGAGATTCATTAGACTAGGCAAGCTCCGCGTACGAAATTTTTTATGCGAAGGTAAGCAACAATTTCCTAGCACAGTGAGGTAACTGCTGTGAAAATCGAATGATCTGAGTCAACTTTTTTTTAAGAACCGACGCAACATGGCCATCAACGATTGAGGAATTCATCTGGTAAAAGGCGAGCATCATAGCCCTTGCATGAACGAAAGACTTGGAAAACAGCCTTGCTTCCATTTGAAGAAAGTGGCTTGTTTAGAAACACCATGGTGAAATACAAATTGTTTTGTAAAGTTATTGAAGGATGAACGACATTCTTAACAGAAAAATGTGTGGCAGCTCATTGAAACTTTGGGAATTCTTTAACAACACGAGAAAAAAGTTTTACGAAATAAAATTGCATGATTGGGGAAGCTGCATGTGTGACGTCATTTGTATGCGCGGCAGTGCAGCTACG